ATTAAAAAGGCAAATATAACACTTAAACAAAAACAGCAATTGCTGGAGAAGCTGTGGGAAGAATGCAGAGTTAAAGTTTTGAGTCTGTTACTGCTTCATCAGAACTGTCAGTAGCTAGGAAAAAGTGCTGAAGCCAAAGTGTGTGTGTGGGGTGGGAGGTGGGGAGGTATGTGAAGGGAGAGAGGTGAGCGGATCGGTGGAGATGGAGCCCAGAGAGAGAGAGATATATATGAAAGGGGTAGGTAAGCATTGAGATTATGGAGAGCAGGATAAAAGAACAACTGAATAAGTGATAATAAGAGCTCAGAGAGAGAAAATGGGGTTAGATATGCTGATTGCGACCCATATAATGTGATAATGGGTGTAGGAATATGTGGGAGTAGATGACTGTGCTAAAGAAACCGATGTCATAACAGGAGTGGGGAGTAAAGCACGGAAAGATGGGATTGGGCTGAAACAAAAATAAAGTTGCTGGAAAAGCTCAGCTGGTCTGGCAGCATCTGTGAAGGAAAAAACAGAGTTAACGTTTCGGGTCCAGTGACCCTTCCTCAGAACTGATCAGGCTGTATAGTTATTGAACTCAATGTTGAGTCCTATTGGTTACAGGGTCCCCAAGTGGAAAATGAGATGTTGTTCTTTGAGCTTGCGTTGACACTCATTGGAACACTGCAACAGCCCTGCAACAGAAATGTTGGCCAGGGAACATGGTGGCATGTGGCAGGCAACTGGAAGCACCAGTCATTATCGCAGATAGAACATGGGTATTCTGCAAAGTGGTCACCCAGTCTTTGTTTTATCTCCTCAATGTGGTGGAGAGACTACATTTTGAGCAGCAATACAGCAGACTGGATTGAGTGAAATGCAGGTAAATCACTGCTTCACCTGGAAGGTGCGTCTGAGGTCTTGAGCATGGCAGCAAGAAATTCAGCCCATCGAGTCCACACTGACCCTCTGAACAGCATCCTACCTAGACCCAACGCACTACCCTATCCCTGTAACCCTACATTTCCCACGTCTAATCCACCCTATATTGAACTATTTGTGGTAGTTTGTAGAGAAGGAGAACTATCCTGAAGACATAAAAACCTAAGAGATAGAAGTATGAGTAGGCATTTGCTCCACAGCTTGATAAGATTGTGGCTGTCAGTGGGTCAGGACATATCCAGGGATGATGGAAGTGTCTGGGCCATTAAATTTGGTGAGGATGTCTATATCATGTCACTTACAGCATGTAAATCATAGAATGCCTACAGTGTGGGAGCAAACTATTCAGCCCATCAAGTTCACACCAACCCTCTGAGCAGCAACCCACCCCCACCCCCTACCGTATCCAAGTAACCCTGCGTTTCCAATAGCCAATCCACTTAATGTGCAAATCTTTAGACAGTGGGAGGAAATCCACACAGAAACGGGGATATTGTCCAAACTCCATACAGAGACTGTGGCTGGAATCGAGTCCGGATCCCTGGCGCTGTGAAGGAGCAGTGCTAACCACTGAGCCACTGTGCTGCCCATGAAGAGGGAGGAGGTAAATGGGAAGGTGTTACATCTTCTGCGATTGCATGGGAAGATGCTGTGAGACTGGCAGGAGATGTTGGGAATGGAGGAGTGTACCAGACTATCCCAGAGAGAAGAGTCCCTACAAAATGCTGGCAAGGGAGGGGAGAGGAACATATATCTGGTCATAGCATTCTGTTGGAGGTGACAGAAATGGCAGCTTACAATCCATTGGATACAGAACTTGGTGGGATACTAAGTGAGGACCAGAGGGACCCTATCATTGATGTGGGAAGGATGTAATTGTTGTGGGACTGCATAAGGGGAGAAAATATAGAGTAAAGGTAGCAGGAACAGGCAGATCTTCAGACATCCAGCATCCACAGTTCCTTGTTTTATATAAATAGAACGCTGAGTTTAGTTAGGAGATAAGGATTGGCCATAGCATCGGTGAACTCCTCAGCTCTTTTCTGAATAATGGCATAGGTTCTTTACATCCACTTCAAAGGAACGTTGGGATCTTGGGTTAATAACTCATTTTTAAGACTACACCTCTGACAGTGAAGTATCCAGTATTAAATTTAAAATGTTAGTGTAGATTCTGTGCTCATGCCTGTTACAGATGGGTAGACGTGGTGGAATAACGTTTTCCCTTTGCTCTTCAATTCTTGGGTTTCCTGCAACAGGATCTGCATTATGGCGGGAATGTTTTAAAACTGTTAGTGTTGTAATTTTAATAATAGACATAAGACAAACCGTCTGTAAGTTCAAATCAGAGGAAAAGATACATGTTTATTCACACAAGAATTCAAAATGTAAATTAAACATTCATTCCCTGAAACAGACAAACATACGTGCATAGAGTGAGGTGAATTTGAGAACGTACTCAAGTCATTAATAGCAAAAAGCAAAATAAAGATGCTTGAATGCATCCTTTTGGGATGCAGAGTTGCAGGCCTGGATGGGTTCTTTCTCATGGTTCTTTGGAGGTAAGTTGGATGTCTCTGGTTTTTCAAATGAATTTGTGACCAGGGTTCTGTAAAAACAAAATCCCTGTAAGTGAAGACAAAACTGGTTGGATCTAGCAGGGGTTCTTTCTTTATGTTGAAGAATGACTCCTTGGGTGTTTTGTTCCTTTAGACAGACTTATTTCTGATGTTTCTTGCAGCAGTATGATTTGATACCTGAAGTTAGTTTTGGTGTGACGACCTGATCAATACTTAGAATCACAGAATCCCTACAGTGTGGAAGCAGACCATTCTACCCATCAAATCCACACTGGCCACCTGAAGAGCATCCCACTCAGACCCACCCCCCTACTCTATTCCTGTAATCCCACATTTCCCACGGCTAATCTACCTAGCCTGCACATTCCTGTACAATATGGGCAATTTAGCACGGCCAACACTTAACTGCACATCTTTGGACGATGGGAAGAAACTGGAGCACTGGAGGAAACCCATGCAGACACAGGGAAAATGTGCAATCTCCATACAGACTATCACCCGAGGGTGGAATTGAACCCAGGATCCCAGGTGCTGTAGTTGGGCCAGCATTTATTGCCTGTTCCTAGCTGCCTTCAAGAAGGTGCCGGTGAACTGCGTTCTTGAATCACTGCAGTCTACTTGGCATAGGCAGACCTATAAAGCTCTTAGGGAGGGAACTTCATGACTTTGACCCAGTAACACTGAAGAAACTGCGATACATTTCCAAGTCAGGATGGTGAGTGACTTGGAGGGTAACTTGCAAGTGCTGGTGTTCTCATTTTCTGCTGCCCTTGTCCTTCTAGATGACAGTCATTGTGGGAACTGGAAGATGCTGTCTAAAGAGGTTTGGCAAATTTCTTCAGCACATCTTGTACATAGTACACATTGCTGCTACTTGGTGTTGGTGGTTGGAGGGACTGAATATTTGTGGTGCTATTCAAATGGGCTGCTTTGTCCTGGATGGTGTAAATCTTCTTGAGTGTTGCTGGAGCACTCCTTCAGGCAAGTGGGGGGTATTCCATTATACTCGTGACTTGTGCCTTGGAAATGGTGGACAGGCTTTTGGGAGTCAGGAGGTGAACTACTTGCTTCAGGATTCCTAGCATCTGACTGCTCTTGTAACCACAGTATCTACATGGCTTTCCAATTCAGTTTTTGGTTAATGGTAATGGGTGTTTCCAACACGACGTAAAATGTTGTCATTTTGCAGTCACTCATCCCTGAAGGGTCTTAATTAGTCCTTTTCTCATTACATAATACAAGATCTAAAATAGGTCTAGTTGGCTCCTCAACATACTGCTCTATAAAACCATCCCAAAAACACTCAGAAACATGACTTTAGCGCGTATTTGGGTTATCCAATCTATAAGGAGATTGAAGTCACCCATCATAATGGCATTGCCTATGCTACATCTTTCTCTCGTGTCCTGATTAATACCATTTTCAGTACTATTTGATGACCTATAAATAACTCAATTCAATGACTTCTGCCCCTTGCTCTTTCTTATCTTCCAACCAATCAGATTCTATACATTGCTCTTCCGAACTTCCGATCCTCCCTCATGAATATACTGATCAGATCTCTTATGATCAGCACACCTCCAGCTTCTTTTCCTTGCTGTCTGTCCTTCCTAAACGTGAAATATCCTTTAATATTCAGTTCTCAGTCTGGGCCAACATGTAGCCATGTTTCTCTGATGGCAGTTAGATCAAGTCCAAGTATCTCCATTTGTCTCTTTAGATCTTATACCTTCTTGAAAATGCTATGTGCATTCAGGTTGAGTGTCTTTAATTTTGTATTTTCGATATAATTCAGGTTTCGAAGCATATTCAATACTCAGCTTTGTTTCTCCTGTCTTCTAGTCTCCCCAGCATCTTTCTGACTTCCTCTTACCAACTTTACCTCTTTCCTATTTGGGTTCCCCTCAGGATCCGAACAAACTAGTTTAACCCCATCTCTTACCCCTACCCTGAATTCTCACTTTGATCCAAATTCCCACTGTCACTGTCACATTCAGTTAATGTCTCCCTCACTCCGAGTGTGAAGCTTATTCTCATTCCTGGGATGAAAGGCATTATCCAATAAGGACAGGCTGGGCCTGTTTCCATTGAAGTTTAGAAGAATGAGATGTGATCTTATTGAAACATCTAAGATTCTGACAGGACTTGATAAGGTTGAGACTGGATGTTTCCTCTTGTGGGGGAGACTTGAACCAATGGACAGAAATGATGAATATAGGTTTCCCTCTTAAGATGGAGATGAAGAGAAATCTGTTCTCTGACAGTTGTCAATTTACAGAGTTTTCTTCCCAGAAGAACAAAAGGAGGTTAGAGAATTGAATCTCAACAGAGTTCCTTACATTTTTGACAGACAAGGGAGTCAAGGGCTATGGGGGGTACAGACAAGAAAGTATTGTTGAGACCACAACCAGATCAGCCATGATATTATTGAATGGTGGAATAGGCTCGATAGGAGCAGAATTAGGCCATTTGACCTATGATCCTTATGCCCTTTAGGGAGAAAAATCTGGTATCCTTATCCAGTCTGGCATACACTTGACTTCAATGTGGGTGACTCTTAACTGTCCTCTGCAATAGCCTAGCAAATCATTCAATTCAACAAGAATTAGGGTTAGACAGCATATACCATTAAAGAATAAAGAGAAATCAACCCTCCAACTGCAGTCCTCTTTTTCGGTCCTGTTGCTCTCCCACTCCTCACTCCCATCCTGTTCCCTGCCTGTTACCATTACCAGTATCTCATAACCCGGGTGTTCTTCTCATCGTACAGAGTTTTATTGTATTCACTCATCCCTATGTCCTGCACTCCTTTTCAATCTTCATCATGGATAATCTAAGGCACCTATAATATGTGGTTGCAGTAAGGTGGCGGCAGAGTAGAAGGGCTGAGCCCAGGACTTGTCTGCTCCCATCTGCTTTCTTTCTTTTTCTTCCTCTTTTCTTTTTACTTTTTCTTTGTTTTCTTTTCTTTAAAGCCTGGAGAGTGACGGTGGCCAAGTAGATGATGAAGGAGGTCGTCTCTGGCAGTAGCTGCAGTAAAGGCCAGTGAGCGAGAAGCAGGTCCCAGGCTGACTCCCCCTGGACTTTTTATATACATGTGACAATAAATCTAAATCAAATCAAATCAAATCACCCCAAGTTCTCTCCCACAACGGTAGCTATCTCAACCATACCCCATTCCCACATGTTCCTGTAATTCATTCACAAAGACCCAGAAAAAGGCTGCAATTTAATTTAAAAACGTTACAACATTTGAATTACAATATATATTGTAAGTTGGATGCCTGCAAATGGGGAAGAAGCAGGCCTGTGAGTGAGACAGATAGAGAATGTCATTGAGACAGAATCCAAGATTTCACTGAGTGACTACCAAAACTAATGTTAGTTAATGTAAAATAATACATCATAGATAGATATTATTGCCAAATCTCACATAAGAACATTGGACACATAACTATGACCAGAGTCTTTTTTAAAAACAAATCTTAGTTGTGATGCTTCTCAAGCCAAAGGATAAGGCTATTTGAAACATTACTTTTTGGACATCGATATCTAAAACCTCTATCCATCACACCATAATGAACATTGTTAGTCATCATTTTAAACACAAGGAGAAATTTCAGATTTTGTTTTGAAATACTGCACTTTTTGAAAACAAGGACTATTGAATCAACACTTTTGTGTAAGGGATTTAAAGATTTTGCCACCTCAAGTCATAGGCTAAGGAGTGGTGTGTCTTGGAAGATTTTAGCCATATGATCTTTTAGAGAACATTAAGGACTACTGAGAAAAAGGCAAGAAAGCGGGGTGAATTAGACTGCTCCGACAAAGAACTGGCAAGGGCATGGTGATTTGTCGGGGCTCCTTCTGTTCTAAGGCAGTTATATTCAACAAACTGGGCTCAGCAATGAAAAGGACGGATTGCATTAAACAGCAATGTGATTGAATAGATTTTAATTTAAGCAATTCATATGAAATGCCTTAAGAACAGATTATAAATACATATAGAAAGTGAAAACTACTCAATTTCCAATTAGCTTACTTAAAATCCAATTTAGTATGACCAATTGGATCACCATCACAAAAAAAATACTCAAGTATTTCTGGCATTTTGTGACAGAGCGGAGTATGTTAAGGACATGTCCCAGACTTGCCTACCCACACAAAGAACATAAATGTTCAAAAACAGTCTTCAAGGAGATGTCTCGATAAGCTTCTTTCCCCGACAGTTTAGGCCAAATTCTGCTGGAGAATTCCCACTGAAAATAACAGAAACCCTCCACTTTATTCACATTAAGAGGGTTAAATCTCCACCTGACCTTGTTGAGGGTCACCAGGAAAAATGATGAATAGGCTTCAGTTAACTGGAACAATTAACAGCTTTAAAATAAAAAGGCATTTTCTCATTTGTGGGATCACAAGTGTCTCCTGTGGTCCTCATTGAGGAATGAATGTTTTAGGGTTAAAGAAACTGAACCCCGCCATCTGTAATAATAAAAGAACACCTGGACACAATACTGCCTCTTGGCTGAAGAGACACAATAGCAAATTCTTGCTTATTGTCCCATATGTTGTTCTTTGAGAAAATAAATCTTCGCTTGACCAGCTTTTGCCAGGATTTGCAGAGATAGGGTTTATACTCTGTAACTGCAGGGTGGGATGGCTGCCAGGTTGCAGCTGCAGCTTCATCTGGCCTAGAAGTTCCAGGCCCTGACCCATGCATCAGGGCTTGGGTGGTTGCTAGTAATACTAGTCGGTATTCGGTCAGCAGCTTCTCCAGACACTCAATGCAGTGCCTGAGATTGGCTTCCTGCTGGCTAATGCTCTCCCCGCCGTTAAGTCTGTCAATCCAATAGAAGGCTGACATGCTGTCCACAATAAGCAGGCAAAGGGCAGGATGGCTGCAAACCAAGCTTTCCAGTGAGTGCAGCAGTAGCAGCAGCTGGGAACTACTGCAGCAGTGAACAAGAAACAGACGACCCAGGCACTGTTTAACTGAATCCTCTGTGCTCTGCACTAAGCCATGTTCTAGAATGGTAACCAGGCGAAGCATGTCAAAATGGTAATCTGTGTCGATGAAAAGAACCTCAACCTGGAGACCACCTGTTGATTCTGGGAGAATGCAGGATGCCACCAGGTGATAAAGCATTTCTGTCTTTCCTGTTCCCTCTGGACCATGGAGTTCAACAGTATCTCCTGCAAGTATGCAGAAGCAAATGTCAGCATTAAACTTCAGAAAGCATGAAAGAATCTTTTAAAAGTTAATTCTCAAACAAACACCTTTTGTCCTTGATAACAGATTCCACAGTAATTACTCCAAAATCTACACATAAAGAAAAATCAAAGCAGAATCACTGAAATGGCCATCCATTTATTTAAATATTGCAATTAAAGCAATTACTGACAGCTTTTTTCATTACTGTACAGCTGAACCTTTCAAAACACAATAGTTCAAAGCCTTTTACTATTTCAGAATGTCATTCGTTTAGTAACATAAAAACAGACTAATTGAGGTTAAAATTTCATCAATTCTGTAGCATTCCCAGTGGCTGAACTAGTTAAGACAAGTGAGCCACAAAGGCCACGACAGCACACAGATTTGATCACTTAAAAAAAATCCAAAGAACTGTAAATGCTGGAAATCAGAAACAAAAAAAAACAGAAATTGCTGGGAGAACTCAGCAGACCTGGCAGCATCTGTGGAGAGAAAGCACAGTTCATGTTTCGGGTTCAGTGACCTTTCTTCAGAAATGTTCTGATTTTTCCCGCAATTACTGCTTTTGATTTGATCATTCATTTGTATTGAGGTAGCGAAATGAATCAGAGATATGGTCTGGGCACTGCAGCTGACTTGTACCTCAGGCTTAGGTTTAAATAGGGTTCCTGTGCCAGTAATCTTAGCTGGAATTGCAAACTAGCAATATTGGGCAAAGACCAGACTAGGCTTCATTGTCAATGTGCTCAGTGTGCTGGCATGCATATAGCCAGTTGCAGTAGATATTGATATATCCTGTAACAGTAGAACTATACCCAGAATGAAGAGAAGGCCAAATACAAAGAAAGTCCTTTCAAAGCTGCATTCCCTCCCCCAACAATGGTTTAAAAATCTAAAAATAAGCATTTCTATTGCGTTTGCTTCATGAAGCTGCTACTATAACCTGTACTGGTACTTTTGATCCGTATTGGTATATTACTCTCAGATCTAATATAACCAGCTAGCAAGATTTCACACTTAATAGTGACAGGTGAGACAACTGATATAGTCCTTTACATTATCTAGGGGCTTCAAAATACAATGCTCCATCCTCACCAAACTCACACAGAGAGAAATTGGTGCATTCACAACAACATACATTTAGCACGGTCCAGTTAGGCAATTGTGAAATAGGCAAACCAGGAGAAGCTGTACATGAGTTAGTCTGAAGGAAGACGTTTGCAGGTTACTATGGGAAAAAGACCCTGCTCTGCAGAACAGTAGAGGCTGTAACAGATTAAATTCCCATTATCTCCGAGTTTGGATTACTGAATACATCAGATCTTTGGACAAAGTCAATGTGAATTTGGGGTAGACAAAACTAAAAGACAGAACTTGAATATAATTGACATCTTTCATGATCTAGGGGTGTCCCAAAGAGCACAACAGCCAAAGAAATACTTTTGAAATACAGTTACTGCAGTGGGGTCAAGAATTAAGACATCTAATTCGCACATAGCAACTTCCTGACCATAAAAATGAGATAAAAGACAAGATGGTGTCCCAGAAATTCAATCGTGCTGCTCTTATTTTACAGGCAGAAAAAGGTGCGTAAGGATTCAATGTGGTCAGTGCTGTGTGCTGGGTATGTGCTATTGGTCATGTGGAATCAGGCTTCAATTAAGATGTGCAGGTTGCTTAGTGAAAGTGTGTAAAAGGTTTATACAATATTCCAAAACGGGTCCTAAGCTGGTTGGAAGATTCTTTTGTGAATTGGGCTACCACAACATCTGACTCAACTCATGATTCATGTGAGGATCCCGCTCAATGCTGCTTTAATGGTTCATTTACATCCATACAGACTGCTTATCATTGACCCAACAGCTCAGGTCTCTGGCTTAGACCTTCACTGAAGACAGTGGACAGTGCTCAATTGAATCCACACACCACACGGACAATGTGACCATGTACTCTACAAATGGATGATAAGGGATGATGTGGTCACGGGTCATTGACCATGGAACACATCAATTCAACCTGGTCAGCTGTGTAAAACACGTAATTCCTCCATTCAGCACCTCAGGAGGCAATTGAAGATGCATAGGAACCGGTAACCCAACCACTGTCTTGACCTGGAACTTACAGGGATGGGTAATATATGACGGTCTTGCCACTGATGTCATTACCCATGAATGAATAAGGAAAAAAAAATCTCATTATCTGTTTTAACTGTCAAATGATACCAGTATTTGCTCTATTTAACTTCTGGATATTTCTGGGCTTAGTTGATGATTCTATGACGAATTAGGAGCAGATGTAGGCTATTTAGCCCCTCATGCCTGCACCACGATTCAATAATATTGTGGCTGATCAGTTTGTTTTCAATTTCACATTCCCACCTTCCCTGATTAACTTTTGACTCCCAGCTCCACTGTAAAAATGTTCAAGGATCCTACTTCCATTGCCTCCGGAGGTGGAGAGTTCCAAAGTCATACAATTCTCGAGGAAAAAAAAATCCTCAACTCTATCCTAAAAGGCAACCCCTAACTGTGAAACAATACCCTTGACTTTGGACTCATCCACAAGAGGAAACATTCTTTCCATGTCCACCTTGTCAAGAATGTAAGGATTTTATACTTCAATCTAGTCATTCCTCACTTTTCTAAATTCCAGTAGAAACAAGCCCATTCTGACTACTGGGATTGCCTTTACAACTAGAAGACAAAGTGAAGAAAAAACAGCCGGGGCACTGCATAGGGAGTTTCCAAGGAGCAGTTTTTGCTTATCTTTACTAAGGAGGAATACCTCAGCTGCCTTCCCTCCACTTCACCAAGACGGCCAACATTGAATTATGTCACCGGTTACAGCCATATCTGGGTAAGGGCAGCATTGTGTGTGGCTGATATGGTCACCATGGCTCTTTGCATTTGCAAGATAGATTCCTTCCAGGCTGCAACAGATGAAATCAGCAACATCTCCCAGTTTGCTGAGCAGCGCTGTGTCTAGGGCAGGATAGAGCTCTCCTGTGCCAGAAAAAAAAACCCTACCTCACCTTTCTAATTGATAGGGCAGAACAGCATGACAGAACTCAGCCTGCATTTCAAACTTCCCTTCTGTTCAAGGTGCCACAGACTGCTTTCACATTTTTACTTCCTTCAGCACCTCACTGGAGAGAACGTGTCTCTACTCCCATAATAGCTTGGCTTGTTTCAAGTCACAGGTAGTGCATTATATAGGTCTATGTCTCATTTTCTGGCAGCAGTTGCCATTCATTCACCTTGTGCCACACTTACTTCCAGCAGGTTGTCAGGTCAGCTACATGCTGCAGTGACAAAAGATCAACCCTTAAGTCATGGTCAATGAAACTCATATGACCTACGCACTGCTACAAAGGCAGTGAGAGTCATGTCGTTACCAGAAATTTTATACAGACTGTCAGCATGCTCAAGCTATGCTCCATCTTTCTGAGCAGGTTGCACTATACTCCTAACCATGCTGTTAGATAACAGATTATCCAGAACCAGGGTGACAGTCCAAGAATATGGGGTAATCCATTTAGGACTGAAATGAGGAGAAATTCCTTCACCTAGAGAATTGGTTTCCTGTGGAATTCGCCACCACTGAAAACTGTCGAGGCAAAAACACCGTGATTTCAAGAAGAAGTTGGAGATAGCTCTTGGGGCTAAAGGGATCAAAAGATATGGGGAAAAAGCAGGGACAGGGTACTGAGTTGGATGATCAGCCATGATCATAATGATTGGTGGATGAGGCCTGAAGGGCTGAATGCCCTACGCCTGCTCTTATTTTTAGGTTTCAATGTTTCTTTCTACTTTGGGATACTGAAGGAACAAGCCTTAGCATAAAGCTGGTCAGCAAGAAATGCAGTAGGAGGAATGTCAGCACAAAGTGGAGGAAGAGCAGCGGGTACCTTGACTTACCGGTACAAGGTCAGGGGGAGGTGGTGGTGTAGTGGTAATGTCACTGGATGAGCAATCCAGAAGCTCAGACTAACATTCTTGGGTTACAGCGTCAAATCCCACAATGGCAGATGGGGAAATCTGATATAAAAAGGTGGTTTATTAGCAACCATATAATCACTGTTGATAGCCATGCTAATATCCTTCAGGGAAGGAAACCTTACCATCCTTACCTGGTTGGCTTTCACTTGGCAACAATTCCACAGAAATTTGTTTCATTTTTACCTGCCCTCTGGTTGGTTAGGAATGGACAATAAATGCTGGTCCAGACACAGAAGCCCATAGTCCATTGACGAGTTAAAAAAAACCCCACAGCTCCAGCAGCCAATAGCTAACATCCCAGCCAAAAGCACTTCCTTTGAAATATGCCTCCAATCTTCAATGTACCAAACAATTAATCATCATTGTCTTTACTATCATCATTTTTGTGTTCAGCTTAATGGATTTTGTCCTCACTTCGTTACAAAGTAAACACAAACATCGAAACCAAAACTAAAATAAAACATTTTTCAAACCGAACTCCACTTATGACTAATATTTATCTGAAGTAATAAAATCACTCGCAATTTCTCAGAGCTTGTCAGGTTAGCTTGTATATCTATCCAACAATGTGTTTCTTGAGTGCCTATACCTTGTGAGGTGGAAGTCTGCTGAGTTTCCTCCAAGGACACCTCAGATGACTCTGGTTGGTGACCTCGAGCAGCTGTGGGTTCCATGGGCCCAGGTGTAGACTGCAGCATCTCAACGCAGACCAGGGCACACTGGTCCAGTTGGCTGTATGGCACTAATTAGGGACTGGTGGAGCAGATGGTGATGAAGGAGGCATCTTCTTGACAGTGAGAGGACATAGTAATTCTGGTGGGAGGTAGGAGATTCACATCAACAACTTGAGGTGGAGGTAGGAACCAGGTTATTTTCCTCCTGTCCACTACCTGCATGAGGGTATCTAAAGCATATTCAGAGAGAGAACAGAAAGTGCTGGAGAAACTCAGCAGGTCTGGCAGCAACTGTGGCGAAAGAACCAG